ACCACTTGTGGAGAATTTTGACGGACTCCAGTAGCGTACCATTTACATTTACTCATTTACATTTAAGTGCCAGTTAGCCACTTATTACTTATCACGCCTCTCTGGACTCTTTATGTCATTTGGCAGCTCCAAAAAATATCTTTTGTTATCTGTGCAATATATAATATATATGATTGTGACAACCTACTACTACACAAGTTTTTGGCATATATGCAAGGAAATTAATATGCTTTTCGTTTTGAAATGGGGTATTGCGTGTGTAAGCTGACGGAGACAGGCTGTTGTTTTCACCGGCGTTCTGCTGGTGGTCACGTGACTACTGATCTGTGACGTAGCACCGCCCGCACCTATAGCATCATAGCTTCGTTTCTGTTATTCCGTATTGAAATTCTCTCCCTTCTTCTTTAGTAAATTGCAAATTTGCAGCTTTTCCCACTGCGATCCGCAGTGTTGATCTGTCGATTTGATCAAGTTGTCTCTCCGTCTTTGGCTCAGAGTAGCGTTTACACCCGCATATCGTGAGTTTGGTTAATGTGGGGCTACACTCTTAAAACTTTACCGAGGTCTTCTAGAGGGTGTTGTCAACTAATTTCTAGCAAGAAAGAGGTCATGTTGTCGCAAAGGCGCGACAATACGTCGTTTCACCCACAGGCACTTGAAGCGTTTCAATAAAATATAATGCTAAATAAATACGAAATCTATTTACTACCAAATTCTTAATGTTTCTATACTCTCTTTCACCTAGTATTATTGCCGACAGTTTCCTGTAAATTCCGTTCAAATCCTATGTACAACTAGCCCGACCAGGCTGTGCGACGGAGTGTCTATACACGGAGTGGTATCCTAACCCTAGCGATACCGTTTCTTGGAGCTAATGTACAACATACACTGCTCTCGCGGCTGCACTGTGCACACTTACACTTATATATATATAGCAGGTAGGAAAGCGTGCTGCCCAAATTTGCTCGACGCTCGCTGGATTTCACACGATTACAACACAAATATTCAACCATTCTACTCCATCTTTATTTCTATTTCAACAACAGTGTTCACTTGTTATAAAAACATACTGTCTCTGTTCGTAACCGAGCTGTGTTATGCGAAATCACACAAAGACTGACGAAATTCTCGCGTTCGCTAACCTTGCCCAGTAAATGTAAATGGCTGCCAGTACAGGGCTATATAGACTGGTACTCGCTCCCACCTCGATTACCCACCTGTGATGTCCAGCCCTAGTGTTTACGTTTTGTATCGATGCTGACTCTATGTGTGAAATGTGACG